GACATTGTTGCTTATTTCTTTTCTTTTTTTTTTTTTTTTTTTTTTTTGAGATGGAGTCTTGCTCTGTCACTAGGCTGGAGTGTAGTGGCGCAATCTTGGCTCACTGCAACCTCCGCCTCCTGGGTTCAAGCGATTCTTCCACCTCAGCCTCCCGAGTAGCTGGGACCACAGGCGTGGGCCACCATGCCTGGCTAATTTTTTTGTATTTTTAGTAGAGATGGGGCTTCACTGTGTTGGCCAGGATGGTCTCGATCTCTTGACCTCATGATCCACCTGCCTTGGCCTCCCAAAGTCTGGGATTACAGGCATGAGCCACTGCGCCCGGCCCATTGTTGCTTATTTCTAAGGTTCCCATCATTTACGCTTCCTTATTTTTCGAGACAAGGTCTTTCTCTATCACCCAGGCTGGAGTGCAGTGGCATCATCGTAGGTCACTGTAGTCTCTAACTCCTGGGCTCAAGCGATCTTTCTGCATCAGCCTCCTGAGTTTTTAGGACTACAGGTGCATTCCACCACACCCAGTTAATTTTTAATTTTTTTTTTTTTTGTAAAGATGGAGGTCTTGCTGTGTTGCCCAGGCTGGTGTCAAACTCCTGGCCTCAAGCCATCCTCTAGCCGTAGCCTCCCAAAGTGCTAGAATTACAGGCGTGAATCACTGAACCCAGCCATCATTTCCATGTTTACATCTGTGTTCTTGTTATTGGTCATACTTAGGTCCAAAAAAGTTAGTTTACCAAACACAGACTCTACTTTCCAGGTTATTAAATTACCAATAAGGCAAAGTCAGAACTTTTCAGAGATTCTGCCTTTAGGTTCCCAGGTCAGTTCGGTTTCTATCATTCATCCCTTTGTGTTAGTTTTGTAGATCACTCATTGCTACCTGGCCAGATAGTTTAACTTTCATAACATGTTTTTTTCTTTTCATCATTATTCAGATATCTTTCTGCATGCAACTGTTCTTTGATTTTATATATTTTCTATACTAATATATATGGCCTTAGCTTAGAGTGCCTTTCTTTAAGAATAGTAAAGGCTGTTGTCTCTAAGTCAGACTACCTATGTTTAAATACCGTTTCTTCTTTAATTGTCTAGCTGTGTAATCTTGGGCAAGTTACTTTGACATCTTTGAGCCCCTAATGACGATAATGATAATATAAAGTTTATGGTATTGTAATGGTAAGGATTAAAGTGAAAGCACTCAATAAATGATCGCTATTGTTGTTACTACCATTATTTTTTACTTTTCTATTTAACTTGTGAAGAAAATCTTGTTTCATTGATGCCTTCGAAATTGTATTTTTCACTTTGTATTTATTTCAAGTTCACTGTTTTACTTGTACTTGCATGCTGATTTATAGCAGTTGAGACTTTAACTGTTTTTTCTACCCCCTTCTCGGTTTTCTCATGTGAATCACTAATACCAATGATAACATTTTTTCCCATAATGTTTTCTGTTGTAAGCAGAACTTTCCCCCCTAAAATCCAGTGTATACATCTTCATTTTTCTTTATCTAGGTTTTCCATCACTTCTAAATTCTGACAGAGAGTGAACATACACATAGCTATTACTACTACTTTGATTTTAAAAAAACAACGATTTAAAAAGCAGTCTTCTTACCATTATTTCCCTTCTTTTGGGCTTTCAGTGACAGCTTAACAGACCAATACCATGCTTATTGTATAGTCAAGTAGATTGCATGAACGGTTAGGATTTCCCCTTTTGGTAAACTATTAAGACAGTCTAAAGGAATGAGGTATAATTAAAAAAAGAAAAAAAAAAGAAAGAAAGCTTTTTGAGACAGGGTCTTGCAGTGTCACCCAGGCTGGAGTACAGTGGCACAACCACTGAGTGTCAACCTCCTGGAGTCAAGCAGCTCTCCTGCCTCAGCCTTCTGAGTAACTGGGACCACGAGCATGCACTACCATAACCCAACTAAATTTTTCTGATTTTTTGTAGAGATGGGGTCTCACTTTGTTGCTCAGGCTGGTCTCAAACTTTTGGGCTCAAGTGATCCTCCCGCCTCAGCCTCCCAAAGTACAGGGATTACAGCTATGAGCCACTGTACCCAGCAGAAAAATATAATAGGTTTTAAAAATTCATGAAGAATGCATTTAAATCTCTAATTTTTAATAATCTACTATAGCATAAACATTTTCTATAAGATTGAATCATTAACTTATAAAATGAAGAAATATCTTTATCTCTTAATTCCATAAATGCCACTATAATCTATTCTATAGTATACTATGTGTAGTAATATTAGTTATGGACATATCTGAGTCTTAACAGTGGTAGTGATGATGATCAGTGATAATTAAAAAGTCATTATGTACTTTTAGCCATTTTTTATGCATTGAAATTTTGACTTTATATCCTTTCTCCTGTCTGAGTTTCTGGAGCTAAGAAAAGAAATAAGCCTGGCAATACTGATGCCACTTATCCTTTTACATTCAGATGCAGAGAAAGCATTTTGTAAATTCTTCAACTAATTTCTGCGCTATTGCTAGTTAGTCACTGTTGCTTTATGGAAATATGTAGGTATGTATGGATTGCTTTCCTTCCAAAGAGTTCTGCATTTCCTAAGTAATATTTTTATGTTATAAGTATACTACCTTTCATATTTCCCTGAATTTGTATGCCTTATTTGGTGAATTGCTTTCTTCTATATAGAATCTAGAGTGAACTTCCCACATGTTACATCAAAGTCAACCTTAATTTTGACATACCACTCTTAAATTATCTAAATATTATTTGTCCCTCCCACATGTCATCACTTTCTTAGGTTTTTTTTGTTTTTGTTTTTAACTTCAGTTTCCATTTTATCAGTTGACTTTCTTTTGGGGACCATTATTCACAAGAAATAAGAATCTGCCTGCCAGTGCAGTCTTACTAGAATAGCAGCTTGAATGGAGTTGTAAATAGTAGGGAGCTAAGTAGGCCTACTCACCAATTAAGTCACTATTTTTTATACCAATCTCTCAGGACTTTTAGTTGCAGATTTATGACTCAGCAAAATTTTCAAATTGCTATAGACCATAGGCCTTTACATTTCCATATAGGCATAGCAGAGCATATTAAATTCACGAGTGCCTTCTCTTGGCAGTGAATAGTAGTCTATAATTCTTATGTTTCAGTAATAGAGAGTAACAAATGTTACGGATTATAAAGACGAAAATCCTACAAGACAGATGAAGGAAACTGATGGCAATGACAAATAATAAATGCTTCTTTGGTTGTCAGTTGTCTTACTAATAAGTTATATCCTATTCTAAGTATTTTTTGTACAATTACGCATGCAGAGTTTAACTTTGGGGAGACTCTGTAGGAAATCGATCATATTTCTAAGTCAAATTTTTTTCATCTTGGTGTTATTTTACTGAGGTTATTATTTGTTAGGTCTCATATTGCTTTGCATCTTAACTTTTATATGTAATTCTTTTGTTATTGTTGTGGTTTTAAAAAAAACTTAGCAAGAGTCATCCCTCAGTATTTGTGCGGAATTGGTTCTGTCACCTTTGTTGAATTACCAAAATCCACAGATGCTCCAGTCCCTTGTAAAAAATGGTTATTTGCATATAACCTATACACATCCTCCTAAATACTTTAAGGAATCACTAGATTACTTATAATACCTAATACTATGTAACCACTGTGTCAATAGTTGTTACACTGTAGTTTTAATTTTTTTATTGTTGTATTGTTATTTTTACCTTATTTGAATATCTTTTGATCCAAGGTTGATTGAATCTGTGGATACGGAAGGCCAACTTTACTTTGTTTTTTAGAACAGGGTTATATTTGTGGAGAATTCAGCATGATAGTACAGAAAGTTAGCATAAACCTACTACCTCCCCCATATGCAATTTCCCCTGTTATTGCTATTCTGCATTAATGTGGTATATTTGATATAATTGATCAGCAGTGATACATTATTAAAGTTTATATTTTATATTGGCATTTATTCTTTGTGTTAAGCAGTTCTGTGGGTTCTGATAAATGTATAATGTCTTATGTCTACCATTATATTACCATATGGAATAGTTTCACTGCCTTGAAATTCCCTTCTGTTCCAACTATTCATCCCTTGTATCCTGCAACCCTTCTATGATCACTTGTTAGTCCCAGGAATTTTATTCATTGGATATTCTACATAGACAGTCATGTCATCCACAAATAGTTTTATTTTTTCCTTTATAATTGGTATTTTTCTTTCTTTATTGATATGATTGTGTAATTTTTCTGCAGTTAATGTGATAGAATACATTAATTGATTTCAAATGTTTAGCCTCACATAACAGGAATAAACCTTTTGAATTTTATTTTTAGTAATAAAATGTTTAAATCTGATACCTGCTGGACTGCATAGTTTTACACAGTTCAGACAAGTCTGTATCATGTTCTATAGTTGGAGGATCATGTTCTATAGTTGTTATGCCAATGGAACATGTGTTAATGTTAAAAAGCTATGAAATATGTCTTTCATGGAAAAGAAATTAATGTTCATACATGTTAAATGTGGCTTATTTACTTTAGTTTATTTTAATGAAATGTAGAATCTTGGGAGAAACATTAAAAAATCCTTAAGTATTTTGCAGGGTTGGGGAATTAATTTTTGTTTAGTCCTGAGAAATTACAATTCTTAGGTAAATGAGATTTTAAAAATACATTCAAGAGTGAAAATATACTCTTGAATTATTTTCATCATTATATTCAAAGCAATTTATTCTGTTTGTTAATGTTGATATAATTTATATTCACAGCTATTTGAAATATATTAAAAGTATAATATGTTCAGAAGTATCAAGTCATTCTTGATTCTTTATCCTTAGCATGTACTTTGAAAATAGTTATTTTACATTTATAGGATATCCTTTTGCTTAATCCGATCTACTTTTGAACAGTTTAAAAGCAGTATGAAAAAGCAATTTGAATGATACAAATATTTGATTAGTGCTGTAATAAATGAGGAATGAATGAGTCCCTTTTTTCTTCTTTGCAGTCCCCAAAGCTCCAGAGATAGATCCTGTAGAGTGTTTGGTGGCAGATAACTCTGTAACAGTAGCTTGGAGAATGCCAGAAGAAGATAATAAGATTGACCATTTTATACTGGAACATAGGAAGACTAATTTTGATGGACTTCCACGTGTAAAGGATGAGCGATGCTGGGAGATAATTGATAATATTAAGGGTACTGAGTATACACTATCAGGTAACGTGATTGCATTTCAGGAATCTTATGCTCAGAAGATAAATGTAGTTCTGAAAAATATTTTGAGTTACTTTAAAGGATAAAGTTTTAAAGTTTCTTTAGCCATACTGGGTTTTTATATATTTATTATGGAAATGATTTTCTGTTGAAACATCAAAGAAACCTTTTTTTTTTTTTTTGAGATAGGGTCTTGCTCTGTTATCACCCAGGCTGGAGTGCAGTGGTGGGATCTTGGCTCACTGCAACCTCACCTCCTGGGTTCAAAAGATTTTCCCACCTCAGCCTCCTGAGAAGCTGGGACTACAGGCGTGGGCCACCATGCCTAGCTAGTTTTTGTATTTTTTGGTAGAGACAGGGTTTCACCATGTTACCCAGGCTGGAAACCTTTGTTTTTGTTACTTTTGGACATTTGTAACATAGTATAACAGAATATATGTAAAACAAGTATGAAGGGATATTCTGAAAACAGTATTTCAGAATAACATTTAATTTTTACCTTGGTTTTCTGACTCTTAAAAAGCTATTTATTTATTTATTTATTTATTTTTTTGATGTTTTCGGTACCCATTTCAGTAATAACATAAATACTGTTGCTTTTACTGTTTTAAGATTACCTTCATATTAATAAAGATCTGTGACTTGGTATAATATTAGAAATTCGTGTTGGCTTTTTGAAAGAGGCTGTCTCAATATATTGTGGATTTTTTTTTTTTTTTGAGACAGAGTCTTATTCTGTCGCCAGGCTGGAGTGCAGTGGTGCAGTCTTGGCTCGCTGCAACCTCCGCCTCCTGGGTTCAAGCGATTTTTCCGCCTTAGCCTTTTGAGTAGCTGGGACCAAAGGCACGTACTACCACAGCCGGCTAATTTTTGTATTTTTAGTAGAGACGGGGTTTCACCTTGTTGGCCAGGATGGTCTCGATCTCTTGGCCTCGTGATCTGCCCTCCTCGGCCTTCCGAAGTGCTAGGATTACAGGCGTGAGCCACCGCGCCCAGCCTATAGTGGACTTTTATATTTGAAATGGCTAAATATTGCCTGAGTTATTCAATGTTTTTTATGCCTGAGCAGTGATATTAGGAGCACCATCATTGAGCAGTTACCATTTGTCAGGAGATGGGCTCAAGTGTATTACATATAGTACATCTCATTTAATCAGCCTAATCTCATTTATTTTTACAACAATCATGAAGTTGGTTTTATCATTTTTGTTCTACAGCTAGAAAACTGAGGCTCAGTCAAGTTGTTGAAGGTCGCATAGCTAGTAATTTCTAAACTGAGATTTTAATCTAGACGTAACTTCAAAATGCTTATTATTAATCTCTGCTTTACTTCCTCTTTAAATTTATTTTCACATAAAAAAACAATGTTTCATGAATATAAATATTAGGGTGTCCACTTTAAATTGAATTTGTTATTGTAAATTGTACCATCTCTCTTTCAGTGAAATACTACTTTTAATGAGGCTTGAAAGGTTACTTTTAAATCACTTGGTTAAAATAAAAGTTGATGCTCCCTTTGGCAGCACATATACTAAAATTGGAACGAGACAGAGAAGATTAGCATGGCCCCTGTGCAAGGATGACACGCAAATTCATGAAGCGTTCCATATTTTTTTTGGGAAAACTGGCTAGCCACGTGCAGAAAGCAGAAACTGGACCCCCTCCTGACACCTTACACTTAAATTAACTCCAGATGGATTAAAGATTTAAACATAAGACCTAACACCGTAAAAACCCTAGAAGAAAACCTAGGCAATACCATTGAGGACATAGGCATAGGCAAGGACTTCATAACTAAAACACCAAAAGCATTGGCAACAAAAGCCAAAATAAACAAATGGGATCTAATTAAATTCCAGAGCTTCTGCACAGCAAAAGAAACAATCATTAGAGTGAACCGGCAACCAACAGAATGGGAAAAAATTTTTGCAATCTACCCATCTGACAAAGGGCTAATATCCAGAATCTACAAAGAACTAAAACAGATTTACAAGAAAAAAAACAAACAAACCCATTCAAAAGTGGGCAAAGGATATGAACAGACACTTTTCAAAAGAAGATATATACGAGGCCAACAAACATATGAAAAAATGCTCATCATCACTGGTCATTAGAGAAATGCAAATCAAAACCACATTGAGATACCATCTCACACCAGTTAGAATGGCGATCGTTATAAAATCTGGAGACAACAGATGCTGGAGAGGATGTGAAGAAATAGGAACACTTTTACACTGTTGGTGGGGGTGTAAATTAGTTCAACCATTGTGGAAGACAGTGTGGCGATTCCTCAAGGACCTAGAAATAGAAATTCTATTTGACCCAGCAATCCCATTACTTGGTATATATCCAAAGGATTATAAATCGTTCTATTATAAAGATGCATGCACATGAATGTTCATCATGGCAGTGTTTACAATAGCAAAGACCTGGAACCAACCCAAATGCTCATCGATGATAGACTGGACAGGGAAAATGTGGCACATACGCACCATGGAATACTATGTAGCCATAAAAAACAATGAGTTCCTGTCCTTTTTAGGGACATGGACGAACCTGGAAACCATCATTCTCGGCAAACTGACACAAGAACAGAAAATCAAACACCACATTTCTCACTCATAGTCGGGTGTTGAACAATGAGAACACATGGACTCAGGGAGGGGAGCATCACACACTGGGGTCTGTTGTGGGGGACTAGGGGAGGGACAGCAAGGGGTAGGAAGTTGGGGAGGGATAACATGGGGAGAAATGCCAGATATAGGTGATGCGGATGAAGCAGTAAACCACATTGCCATGTATGTACCTATACAACATTCCTGCATATTCTTCACATGTACCCCAGAACCTAAGGTGCAATAAAATATATATATATTTAAAATAAAAATAAAAGTTGATAAACTATTTCTTTTGAAGAAAATAATAATTAAATCATGATTCCTCTTATTTTAAGCATATCACTCTTTCAACATAAATTCATACCCTTCCTGAATACAGAGACACAGTACTTAATGTTTAAAGTCTCATACTCATGCTTTTGGGAATAGAGTTCTTTACTTTTCATGTTTGAAAATCATGTTCTCATTTTTTCAGGCTTAAAATTTGATTCAAAGTATATGAATTTCAGAGTGCGAGCTTGTAACAAGGCTGTGGCTGGAGAGTATTCTGATCCAGTGACTCTAGAGACCAAAGGTAAGATCAGGAGCTATTTAAACATCATAAAACAAAGCTTAACATCTGAAGTTATTCATAACTTTGTAACAGGAAGCACTTCATGTGATGTTGAGTTCCTTCTCCACTTCCCCTAGCAAAGCTTTCTCAACAGTAAGGATTTTAAGAAAGGGAAAATAGAACTGCATTAGAGGTTTTAATTGGGTTTTCCTATGTGATTATGTTCATGCAGATAAAATAGACTCAGATGATGGTATTGTATTCTCTGGTGGATGATTAATTTATAAATTTCAATCTTGTTACTAACAGGTAAGTGTCACCGAGATTTGCTTAGAGTTTTCTCATAGAATGGATTATGAATCAATATAGGGGAAGTATCTGTTTGGTTTAGTTCAGGTCCTTTCTGTTTTCCTGAATCTTATTGTAGTAATTAACATTTATATATGTTAATGGTTGCAAAGCACTCTTGGTTCTTTATTAGATTACTAAAATCATCTTGAGAAATCAGTGTACTAGATATTATTGATATCCATATTGCAGATGAGAAAAATTAAGTTTTAATATGTTAAATGAGTTTCCCATGATCCCTAGACCTAACTTGGATAGGTGTGAATAAGAATCCACTTCTGAGTTCTGTACCAGCCTTTACTATGAGCCTGGAACCTAGGTTCTTCTAGTCTCTGCAAGCAATTTGGATGTAATGAAAACTCCCTAGAGTAGCAGACTTGAATACAGAGGATTTTTTAGGTGTTTACCAATTTGAAGGTCATAATGCTAGAGACTTTCACAATTGTGAGATGATTATTGACTGGATTTAATTCCGGAACCAGACTCTACACATTCTTGTAGGCACTTGGGGCATAAGGCCTCTAGTTCATATAGCATTTGACTAGGTTTACCTGTCAAAATTTGACAGGATTTGGAGGATGACAAAAAAAATCACATCAGACTAAAACAAAATATGAGGCTTATAAATTATTGATGAGACAAACTCAGAAAAATGTTAGCATCACAAAGGTCTAAAATAAAATCTAACTTGAAGTAATTTGTTTGGATTAGAAAATGTTTTTATTTGAGAACTATAGGTAACTTAGCCAAGAAATGCAATTACTCTGTATTACTTGTTATAAAACTGAGATGTTACTGTGGTTTCTTTAGAAGTTTTTACCATTTGAAAATATAGTCATAGCGGGGCACAGTGAGCGCTGTAATCCCAGCACTTTAGAAGGCCGGGGCAGGCAGATCACCTGAGGTTGGCAGTTCAAGACCAGTCTGACTAACATGGATAAACCCTGTCTCTACTAAAAATACAAAAAATTAGCCAGGTGTGGTGGTGCATGCTGTAATCCCAGCTAGTCGGGAGGCTTAGGCAGGAGAATCACTTGAACCTGGGAGGTGGAGGTTGCAGTGAGCCGATGAGCTCAGATCGTGCCATTGCACTCCAGCATGGGTAACAAGTAAAATGCCATCTCAAAGAGCTGCATAAGAAAGATCCACATTTTTACAAATGACACACTGAACAATTGTTTACCAATTTGGCTTGTTGCAGCCTTTTTCAGTCAACCAGTAGAAATTAGTACATGGACAAAAAACTAGAGAAAGAAAGGAAAAAAGGTAGAGACTAAATAGTTGAGCCTACCAAAATTTCATATCCTTCCACGTAAGGTTCTTGGTATGGAAAATAGTGAACATTGTTTATTTCTGTCCCTTCAACATACGTAGCACTGTTTCTTCTGGCATTGAAATTCTCAAAAGTAATGAGTAATATAAGTTCTGTTCTTATCACCAGAATATTTAAGCTATATTATTATTGATTTTTTGTGAAGGTAAATGATATTATATTACTAAATCATAAATTACTCTCCAACTTTAATTGATAGCAGCTATGATATAATTTTATCAAGAAAGCAGCCACTGGCACAAGTAAAACATAAGAAACATATCTGTACTCTGATATTTGGAGCTTTGTTTTCACAGACTTTTAAAGATAAGGAAACCAGTATCTAGTTTTATTATAGGGCTCATACAAGAGATAGGACGTCACTTTTGAGGCTAGATTTTTTTTTTTTTAATACAGAGTGTTACCTGTGTTGCCTTAGAGGAGCTCTATAACTCTACTGAGGTCCTATAAAGGGATAATGTCCAAAAAGAGAAAGAGATATGAAAATGACACTCCTTAGGATTGAAACCCATGCCTTTTTGTTTGGATGCTGCGGCATTTGATAATTCTGGTCTTAAGTGGTTTGGGATGGTACTTTCTTTTTTTTTTGACACCAGAAGGTGGCCCTTCTCTCCTTCATAGCAAACATTAGGGGACAGCCTTAGGCTGTCTTTCTTTTTTTAAAAAAAAAAAAAAACAGCCTTAGGATTTTAGCAAGTAGTTGAGAATTGATGGCACCTTAGAGTTAAATCCAACTTTCTTTCTCAAAAATGTAGTGCTGTCCCATTCATTACCTAATAGCTCACATATAGATGTTAATTTTATTAAGGCAGTTCATTCTTGGAAATTAAGTGTTAACTTAATCCTAACCTTCTGGTAACCTGACTATTAAAGAATTCTATTTTCATTTTTGTTAAGAAGCTGCATTATTGCTGCATTATTTCTTTTTTCTGTAAGTTTATTTCTGTTTAGATACAGATTTTGAAAGCTGTGAACTTCCTTGTATTGTATGACATTTACTGGAAACTGTGTGGTCAGTAGATTTGTATTCAGAATCTTGTTTCATAAATAAAAACAATGAACAATAGCTCCAATGCATAGTTGAAATTAAAATGCTCTTTATAGAACAGTAGGGGATAAAAGGATTATTGATTCATTAAGTAAACAGGCTCTCTATATGTTTATTTTGTTGTTTGATGATGCATAGTACACAGACACACTGAAGCCTTAGCTAAATTAAGTAATATCTGTAAGTGAAATCGAGTTTTATAAAGGGATACTGTTATTTCTTAATTACTAGAAGTTTGAACTTTTGGAGGGAAATAGAATATATATACAGATTAGTTAGTAACTATGTAATAGCTGATACCTTGCAAGATTGAGATTCTGAGAGTTATATTTTAAGATAAAAGGAATGGTACATTGATCAGCCATGAATCAATACATTCTAATGATTTACCCTCAGTTTCCAGAAAGGGAAGCTTATAACTTGTTTCACTGATTTTCTAAATTAGCAGTTCTGAGTAAGTCTTGTGAAAAGTATAGATAATTCCTCAAAATATCAAATAATCTGGAAAGCATAGTTTTGTTTTATGAGTTTTTTTGTTTGTTTTCATTTATGTGGTCCCTTTTTCCTGTGTACTCTTTGCCATGTAAATCATCTATCAGCTTGGCCAGTTTCCTTGTTCAGTCGTCATGGCCTTAGTTTCTCCATGCTTGTCTTACTTTGAAACTGAGAGTTTAGGTGTGAAATTATTAAATATTAGAACATCAGAGAAAATGTGTATGCCAGGTTCTATAATTTTTTACACTGTGTAGCTTTATCCTTTTCCTTAATTCTTCCAGTTCCCCTTCCTATTTAGTTATAACAGTCAACTGATATCCTAATAACAGGAAATTGAAGTTACTGTGTACTCATTGAGATTTTAGTAGAATGAACAGCAGAAATGCCAGCAGCCATTCAAGTACATTGTATTTGGTTGGAGTATAGGATATATTGAGAAGAATAATGGGAAATCCGATAAGAATTATAAATTATAGCCTAATTGTTGAGAACTTTAAGAGCTAAGATTATGAATTTGAACTTTATTTTCTGTATTCAGTATTGAATTGAGTTGGAAAATACTGTGATGATAGCGGTGTTTCAGAAAGTGGAGATATGCTATATTTTAAAAATATATTGAAATATTGTCTTAAATAGCACTTAACTTCAATTTGGATAACTCTTCATCCCATTTGAACTTGAAAGTTGAAGATACCTGTGTAGAGTGGGATCCTACTGGAGGAAAAGGCCAAGAAAGTAAAATTAAAGGAAAGGAGAACAAGGGCAGGTAAGCTAGGGCATTAAATCTGTCATATGAACAAATGCTTGTATACTGGTTCTTAAGTAACAGTAACTTACATTGAAATTCTTAGTCAATATACCTATGAGATTTATGGTATATTAGTAGCACCAAAGTGAAGAATATAATACTATTTGTGAATAGTTGAATGACATTAACGTTTTTATTACTCTTTTTTATTTTCATTCCTAATCCTCTTATACATTTTCATTTCAGTATTCCAATTTTTTAAAGTTACATGTGCAGCAACTTGACTTGCTTTAGAAGAAGTTTCTGGTATAATACCTGAATTTTAGACTTACAGATCACCTATCTTACCTGCAGGTCTGGTTTGCACTAAATGACAGCGTTTAGCAGGTACAACCCTAGGGTCTTAACCTCTCATCAGCAACACAATGAACCTAAGAGGCAAGCTCGAGGACCTTTTGTTATTGTCATAACTAACTTATTTAAATAAAATCAAAGCATGGGAGCCTCTTTCTTTTTTAATAGAAGAAATTTTTGCTCAAATTGAAGATAAATGCCATGTGAGTTACGATAATGAACCCCAGAAAATTCCTCACCAGGCCTTTAATCTGATTTTGTTATAAGCTGTTAAAGTTATAAAACAGTTTCTTAACAGTTGCCTGTTTTTATCTGACAGTGTCCATGTTACTTCACTGAAGAAACATACAAGGTGATGATCTATGTCTGTCTAGTTCTAGGACTTAGTATAATCTAGCTTGGCTGATTTAAAACAACTTTTGATTTTTTCTTTTAACCAATATGCAGAAGCCATTGTGGCAGCGTTCATAAGCTAAAACACTGCTCTGCGTAGACTGTATTGGTAGCTTACGTTTTGAATTTACATTGTAGTGTGCTGCATATTATTTGGATTGTATTGTATGTGGTAACAAAATAAGCTCTGCTTTAAAGTCTTTCTCGAATTTATTTCCCTTATCTGATTTTTTTCTGCTTTTACTCATACCTGGCATCTTTCTTGTTGTACTGAATAATATTCATTAGTTTAACATTGTAGCTTTGCTTTTATTTGACACACGACAGGTTTGAATAGTTCTCTATTTTATAGTGATGAGGCAGTTTCAAAAGCAACAAGAACAAAAAATAAAGGTCATTGCTAAAGACAGTGCCAGAAAGATAAATTGTTTCAATTTGCATGAGTAATAATGTGCTTATTTTGAAGATACTACATATCTTTACTGGAAACCAGAATGTGTTCTCTTCTCAAAATTAGCTTCTTCTTCTTTTCAGTTGATTTACCCATTATTGGTAAAAGTGATTTTATGGTGTATTATAAATTGGAAAATGCTGGATTTAATAGCCTATGAAATTTTGTTTGGTCACTTGGAAATTTTTAGATTGCATATTTATGATTTAAGGTTATGTCATTTCTTCCTCCCTACTTTTTAAGAGTATTTTACATATAGGCTACTTGTGGAATGTTATACGCATTTATATATTCTTTCCATAAATATTTGCTCACCGTAGGATATCTGCTGGATGTTACAGGATTTATAGGGATTAAACACTGTCTCTTCTTTCAAGAAATTTGCCCTAATTTATGTAGATGAGATGTATGTAAAAGTAGCAATAATGCAAAGTAGATATATGTGCAATGCTAAATGTGAATAAAGGTGTTCAGAGGAAGAAAGACATCTAGAGCTGCCAGGTGTTGAGGTGGTCAGGTAGGATAGTGAGCCTAACTAAATAATAATCAAGCCCTTATTGATGTGCTGTGATGGTATACGCAAGAGGCCACAAAGGAAAGCTACTCACTTCCCCAGTGTTCAGTTTTTCCCAACAGAGTGGCCCTGGGTGAAGGTCACGTAAATCAACACAGATAACAAGTAGTGGATCTTCTCAATGACAGCAAGCCCCAAACAAAAGGCTCCTGCCAGTTTATGGACCTGAGAACCAAGAAGGTGGGGAGTGAGGGGCTAAAATAGGAAAATACTAAAACAGAGTGTAGAAGAATGTTTTTAGACCATCACGCCTCCCCTGGCCTCTGCCCTAAAAGGAGTTTTACACAGAGGCACCTGAAAGGCATCTCGGCCTATGGCCTCCCTCTGATAAGGGGACCTCTGAATAGAGATGCCTTGGCTAGGAATGCAGATGTGGCGTATGATCGTGGTGGGGAGAAGTGTGGAATTGCAACTCTCTCTAGAAACTACAGCGCATTAGCTGTGCACCAAGTCTGGTGTGAGGAGGGCAGCTCACCCTACCCTGTGCCCCCACCCTGCCTCACCAACACCTGCCTATGCTTGGGCCTGAAAGATCACACATAGAATGTGGGCCTGGAGCTGGACTCCTCAGACTGGTTATTTAGCCTGTTAGGATTTGGGAGACTTTCATTAAAGAAATGATATTTAGGCTAGTTCCTGAGCAAGTGGAAAAATGTGTGGTGGTTAGACTTGCAGTGAAAGGGGGAACAGCCAGAGGAAAGGCACTGAAGCAGATGGTGTGAGTTTAAACATTTTGGCTGGTATAGTTAGCTGTGTAGTGCTCTCTAGGGGTGAAAAGGCTAGAAGGGCAGATTGGGACTAAATCAAGAACCAGAATGCCGTGCTAAGTCATTTGTAAGCAGTATAGAAGTACGGGAAGATTTTTAAATAGAGGAATCAGAGCTAGCTTTATCTTGTAATAATGAACAAGATGAGTCGGATAGCAAAGAGATTATTTGAGAAGCTGGTAAAACAATGCAGACGAGAGATAGCTAAAGAGCCTTACTTAAATTCAGGTAGTTAAATGGCCAGGGTGTTCTTAGCCCTGGGTGAGGGAGGTGATGGGAGGAGATCATGCTTGACGTAAAACTTATTATAAGTTGTTTCTTGCAAAAGTGACTTAGGATTGGAAGTCTGGAATGCAGCAATGGAAGAGTTCTCCTTATTTAACTTTTCTCTGAAATTAAACTGCCAATGTCAATAGTTATGTCTGTTTTTCTTTTCTCCATGCTTCCCTTTATTTCTTTACTACTGGTAAGTTATAAATTTTTAAAAATTATTTTTCTGGTTATCAAAATAGCTCTTAACACATTTTGAAGCAGTGCTAAGTGAAATTTTTCTATTTATTTATATGACGTTCACTTTCTATTTGTTGCCCTGAATTACTTGGGAAATATTTTTCAGAATGCATGTTTTCTCTCAGCAGACCCTCTCACCCACCAGTTGAGGAGGTGAACATCAGTGTATTTTGAAAAAGTTTCCTGATTATTTCTCATTCTGTTGTGCCTTTTCAATTGACAATCATTGATTTGTTACAAAATGCCAAAGGTCTTTGTTTTTCCAATTTAGCACTTTGACTCAGGAAGCTACAGATGGCCCTTAATTGACAATATCACATATTTACTCAGGAAGATACAGATGGTCCTTAATTGGTAACATCACAAATTTACTATCTGTTTACTCAGATGAGCTCCTTCTAGTCAGATATTGTACACCTACTGTGTACTGAGGATGCAGAGATGAGATGTGGTTCCTAGCAACAGTTATTTCCCTTCCCTCAGCTACTCCATAGCCAAGTTCCTCACTTGCCATAGCAAACAAGGACTAAGGGTGCCATATGATAGATTGTGTAAAACCTGTCTTTTCATCACCCTTTTAATCCTTGCTCCTTGATAGGAGAGTTTTGCTTTGTTTTACCTCAGTGGCTCCTAGCCCAGCTGAACAGCAAAGTCTTGAAATTCTTACTTTAAAAACACAGACATGTGTTTCTCAAGCCTGCCCTCCAGTGTCTGATTTAGTAGTTTATGGTAAGTCCTGGTAATTTGCATTTTTTAACGTTTCCCAAGTGGTTCTGATGTGCATCTATGTAGGAAAACCACTGATTTGGCTCGTTTAATTCCTTCTCACTCCTGATTACACATTTACTTCAACCTCTCATCTCCTTTCATTTGATTCATACCTAGTTGCCCAAAACAAAATCTTGTTGACTTTCTTTGCTCTGTTTCTCAGCTGAATAGCAACCACAGTCATGACTGTTAGTAGTAAGGAGAATACTACCAATACTAGAAAACACTGGGCTTTGAAGTCAAGTTAGATATAATGAAGAGCTAGTGTTCTGAGATTATTGTATCCCGTCTTCCTTCTCTAGTTACAAAAGTAATTTTTCACAAATACTGACATTTTTGATTAATTAAAAGTGGGTTCATTTTTGTATAATCACCAATATTTGCTATTGAATAACTTGGGTGGAGGAAGATTGATATGCAGTCAATTTATGAATTGGTAACTTGATGAATTGGGTAATCTTTGGTGAGCTCTGCACCCATTTTTTTTTCTAAGGGAGAATGTACTTTCATTTCAAATAACCTCAATCACACGAAGTTCTTTTATTACATAGGTGTTCTGGAGACCTAAAAGCTTTTTTGTTATAATTTATATACCATGTTGAAACAAATTTACTTTTACCTTCTTTCTTTTCCTGTCTTCCTTTAATGTTGCATCTAAAATATTGTTTTTCACATCTTTTTTTTTTTTTTTTTTTTAAAAAAAAGTGTGGTTTCTTTAATTTAGTATTTCCAGAAGCCCAGCCTAAAAAGAGAAAAGTATAGCTGGTTAAAAAAAGGAAGAAGCCCTAAAGCTGGCTTCTTCCCATAGTACCTCTGTGGCATCTGCGTTCAGGAAATTCCCTTGAGTTCAGGAAATGGTTTAAAAATTGCTGATTTCAAGATTGTTTGCCCCCTACAAGATCATGAATATAGAGCTAAATGTACTATTTTTTTTTAAACTTTGGGGCAAATACAATGTTATATTTTCTCCTGAGCTTAAGATAAAACTTTTGAAAACACATGGACCTTTTGTAATCAGGCTTTTAACATTCTCTATCAGCTTGTATAAAATGAATCAGAAAGAAAATTATGATGTAGTTCTTTTTTCCTGAGTTATCAGTTGACAATGTTTGCACTTTTACTTTCTTACCAATGACTCTTGCAAGTATTGTATAAGTATCAGCTTAGAAAACGTGGTCATTCCAAACTTTGAAGAAGTAAAAACATATATTTTTGTTATTCAGGATAAAGAGTATAAATGTTTAGTAATTTTTGTTTCTATCCTTCATTTTGGAGAAGACTTCAACAACTATTCTGGAATTTTCCCCCCTCACATTCTGTTTTGCTGTCCCCCTACCCAATGGCAAGAAACTACTTTCTTCCTTAGCACAAGTTTCACAGAATTTTTAATCTGTCCACATTCACCTTTGTCCATGCTGTCTGTTCAAATAGAACCTATAGTCACTTTTTAAGTGTCTTTTTAAATAAATACCTTTACAGAAAGGACCTTTGAAATCCCTTGGGAGAAATAAACTAAGTCATGTGAATGTTATAGTTCTAGACCTATACTTTTGCTACTTAATATTATTCACTAAAAAGACAGTTGAAGTGGTCCTGCATTCTTTGAAATTGTCTAATAAATCTGCTGATAGCAAGACATTTAAATAATGCAGAATGAAGCCACTGAATTATGAAATGAATCATATGAAATGACTTTAAATTTTATCTGTATTCTTGTTTTGCCTTTGTCAGGCATTTCTATTCTAGTATTGATAGCTTATATTAAAATCTACTAAATTGATCTTTTCTTTTTTTTTTTTTGAGACGGAGTTTCGCTCTTGTTACCCAGGCTGGAGTGCAATGGCTCCATCTCGGCTCACCGCAACCTCCGCCTCCTGGGTTCAAGCAATTCTCCTGCCTCAGCCTCCCAAGTAGCTGGGACTACAGGCGTGCGCCACCATGCCCAGCTAATTTTTGTATTTTTAGTAGAGACAGGGTTTCACCATGTTGACCAGGATGGTCTCGATCTCTTGACCTTGTGATCCACCCGTCTCGGCCTCCCAAAGTGCTGGGATTACAAGCGTGAGCCACCGCGCCCAGCCTTAAATTGATCTTTTCTTAGGAAGAAAATTTCCAGGGCTATGTTGGAAAAAAGTACTTTTATTGCTAATTAGTGGTGAGAATATAGTTATCCCATTTTCTCTAAATAATAACTTTAGGATAATCTTGACCCAAAAATCTTTTTTTAAATGCAGTAATTCAATATAATTAAAATGTTATTTTGAAAACATCTTTGGGACTTAATCTATTTTGAGTTTTTGAAAGATAGTAAAGATCCCAATATTCTCAAGTTTTCCATATATCATATAATTTGATATAAGAGGAAGTCAAGGTGGATCTTGTCTATTTTAGTAGGAGAAATGCTTTATAATACTTGATATTATCCTGTGCATGGATTTGGACAATTGCCATTTCTTTCTTTCTTTCTTTTTTTTGAGACGGAGTTTCCGCTCTTGTTGCCCATGCTAGAGTGCAGTGGTGCAATCTTGGCTCACCACAACCTCTGCTTCCCGGGTTCAAGTGATTCTCCTGCCTCAGCCACATGAGTAGCTGGGGTTACAGGCATGTGCCACAATGCCCAGCTAATTTTGTATTTTTAGTAGAGATGGGGTTTCTCCATGTTGGTCAGGCTGGTCTTGAACTTCCGACCTCAGGTGATCCACTTGCCTTGGCCTCCAAAGTGCTGGGATTACAGGTGTGAGTCACCATGCTTGGCCACCATTTCTATTTTTAAGAAGGTAAGATTCAGAGCAAAAATACTCACTATTTATAAAAAGGGTTATTTAGTTGTGATTATAAGAAGAAACCTATCTTTGCTTTTAAGTTTAATTGCAAAAAAAAGAAAGCTGTAACTCATTATCTTTCTTGAGTTCTTTTTGTTTCCTTTAGTAAGCCTTGTCGCATTTTAGCATCGTTTCTTATTTCAGCTGTGTGTTCTTTGTATAAGCCTTGCTCAGTCTGCATGCCATTAGTGTTTTCAGCCTGCTCTGTATTGATAGCTTCTTACATTTCAGCGTTTATAATTGACAGTGCTCTTTAATAATAGTTTAGATTAAATTGAATGTTGTTATTTCTATAGCATAATTAGAAATTTTTTCAGAGGCTTCTTCCATGAATTGTAATTTTAGTTTATGAAACATTTACAATATAAAATATTTGTTTTTCTTTTTTCTTCTTGCTTATCTAGAAGTGGTACACCATCCCCAAAACGAACATCTGTAGGCTCCAGGCCACCAGCAGTAAGAGGCAGTAGAGATCGTTTTACTGGAGAATCATACACAGTGCTGGGTAGGATAAAACATAATTGTTCTTTATTATCTCAGATTAAAGGCATCACAATCACACTGGTGGACTTTCCAATCAAAGTGACTGCCTATATATTGAATAAATCTTTGCAAGAAGTTTTTCTCAATTGAAGCCTAATTACTTTGGGGAGTTTTCAGAGTGTCTTACTAATTTCGATACTTTTAAAACTCTACTTTAGCTTACATAGTGTTCCCACATCTTTATATACATAAACCTGGAGGGGAGATAGTAAGGAAGAAAACCTCAGAAGCATTTTATATTCAGAAGAATAGCACTAAACATAAAGGTAAAATTATAGCAGGCACTTTGCATTTAGTGTCTGTGTGTTAACATGATTATTCTTAGAGAAAAAGTACTTGAATAAAAATTTTGTGTCTTTTTTTGGGAAGAGTGATAGGTAAAACTATGTGACTCATAACAAAGAGATAAGAGTCAAATCTACCTTTCTGATCTTTTGTAGGAGACACTGCTATTGAAAGTGGACAACATTATTGGGAAGTCAAGGCCCAGAAGGATTGTAAATCCTACAGTGTAGGAGTAGCATACAAAACGTTGGGGAAATTTGACCAGTTGGGAAAGACAAACACTAGTTGGTGTATCCATGTCAACAACTGGCTACAAAACACATTTGCAGCAAAGCATAATAATAAAGTCAAAGCTTTGGATGTTACTGTTCCTGAAAAAATAGGTGTATTTTGTGATTTTGATGGGGGTAAGTTTATTTTCTCATACGTTATTTCATCATAGTTGCTTGAATTTCAGTACCTTTCACTGGTAATCATTTATACAGGATTTCCATTTGTATTGTGGTAAGGATATTTTGATCAAGTGGACTTTTGATCACAATCATAATCTCAGTTCTAGAATTGACTAGAATGGTATATGTGATGTCTGCCTGGAGCCCTACAAAAGCACTCATTTATAATATACTAAATCTGAAAGATTTTGCTAATTTTAGTCTTCAGCACTAACATTTCTTCTGTCCATTTTAACTCCTTTCTTACCATGTTTTATTACCTACCTCTAAAGAGTGGTAGTCAGAATTTTCTAGTTGAAGTAGATCTTAGAAATTACCCAACCCAGGATGAACAGCCCATTTTACATGATGTGTTTATTACACATTGCATGCCTATATGAAAACATTTTATGTACTACTGTGTACCTATGAAAATTTTTTAAAAATTCAAGAAGATATAAGAGCCATATTTTCTACTATCCTAGTAAATATAAGCTATACAGCAAATTTTTTTGTGCCAAACCCCATCAAACTTGATATGAATGGAATGTTCTTAATTTTCAAGATGCTGTCTTTAAAGATATTCTTCAGAATGACTCGTGGTATCTTTATAAGGGCCAAAGGAGTTTTCCCCCAATATCAGAATTTATTACAGAACTATTAACACATTGTGGTCTAATCCAAAAAAGAAAAGAAAAGAAATTACTCCATCTGACACACAGTATAAAATCATTATTACATTATCTCTGCAGGTAGTTGGCACTCCTGTGCTTGAATAACTTTTTTAAAAAAATTTTTTTATTTTACTTTAGGTTCTGGGGTACATGTGCAGGTCATGCAGGGTTGTTGCATAGGTGCATACATAACCAGGTGGTTTTAATAATAGTTTAGATTAAATTGAATGTTGTTACTAACATTCTGCCTCTCTTCCCCTTTCATCTATATCTGGCATTTCTCCGCATGTTATCCCTCCCCACCCCCCTTGAAGAACTTTTAATGTGAAGTTTACTGTCTTAGAAAGCAGGCTGTTTCATTGTTGGACAGCTCTTGGTTAGAATATTTTTCTTAAGTTGACTCACTTTGTCTCCCTGTAACTCCGGAGACTGTTGCTCTTAAATTTTGCTATCTGAATAAACACAGAATTATATTTCCTCATTAATATTTGCATGATAATCCTTGTTTATTAAAAACTACGGGTATACTAACATTGCTTTTCTTGTCTTGTTTTTCCAGACCATATATTCTCTGTTATTAGCTGCTCCTGTTAAAATTTAATTTTTCCAAGTCTTTACAATCTCCTATGCCTGTCTTGTATGTCAGTGTTTTTCTTAAAGGTTGGTTATTAGAGTGGAACCAGCAAAGGGCAGTAATTTGGCTGTGCTACTTCAATAATATGACTTAGCGCTGTTGACCAGTATTGAGCTTCTAGCTACCCTAGTCCACCAGATCTTTTTTCATGGCATTATGTTAAATTCTTTTTCTTCTTTTATTAGTCAGTTTAGAGTTTTGGGTTTTTGTTTTTGAGATGGAGTCTTGCTCTGTTGCCCAGGCTGGAGTGCAGTGGCACAATCTCAGCTTACTGTAACCTCCACCTCCTAGGTTCAAGCAATTCTCTGGCCTCAGCCTCCTGAGTAGCTGGGATTACAGGCATGCACCACCATGTCTTGCTAATCTTTGTATTTTTAGTAGAGACAGGGTTTCACCGTGTTGGCCAGGTTGGTCTTGAACTTCTGACCTCAAGTGATCCACCTGCCTCAGCCTCCCAAAGTGCTGGGATTACTGGCGTCAGCCACCACATTCGGCCAGTTTAGAGTTTTTAAAAATAACTCAATATTATGTATAACATAAATGATGGCTATTACATTTACCCTTTTTTAGTTTTGTCTTAATAGACTTGGCCACATTTCCCCTCCTGTTAAAATCATCTGAAAATTAACTTGATATTTATATTTTGAGAAAAGTTTAAATCCCATTGAATTAGTTATTTCATAAGCATGTTCTCTACAGTCATCTAATGTATAATAAATTTGAAGATGACATCATACTGAACTAAAGTAATCCCCTAGATGTTTTATCTCCAAGTTGACACTTAACCTAATAATACTAAATTTTGTTATTTTAGCAATATTGTGCCCAAATAATTCCATGAGCTATCAATTAATTCACTCAAAAAAGGAGAAAAAGTAGTTTTTTAGTGATGACATGTCAGTTTTGCTGTGTTGTTTTTTAACCTACTTTGAATCAGATAAATCATTTTCCTCAGGATAAATGGCAAATTTATTAGCACACATTTTCTTTTTCTTTTTCAACTACCAAGACAACATTTGCTTATCTTCTCTTTCTTTTCCCATGCTTTGTGAGTCCACAAAGGTAGTAGTGAGATACAATTTTTAGCCTAGAGCATAACATATGGCAAGGAGAAGTTGTATTGTGGAATAGGATCAGATTCTGAGAGCCTTGAAAAATAATGGAGTGGTCCTTAGTATTGGGGAGGGGTCGTTCTGCATGTTTTAGAGCACTATAGTCATAAAATAATCTAGTTTTAGAAATATTAAAGTCCATGGTTTAAGCTGGAAGAGACTTGAAAGCATAGAGAACATAAGACTTTTCAGGAAGCAGTCTTCAAATGGTGTAGAGCAGGACTGTGTCTCTTTTGTTAGCTATTAAGTCCTTATTGCCTGGCAAGTGCTTTTCACATAGGAAGCCCTTAATAAGTGTTTGCTGAGTAACTGGCAACAAGGATCTGAGCAGTGGAGAATTAAGAGTGGATTTGACAGTGTGGAAGTAGAATTCATAGGATTTCATAGCTAAATATGGATCAACTGAGGAGAGACAGTTGAAAATGACTATGAGGTTCCAGCCAGTGTGATCAAGAGGATGACAGTGTCAACAGGATAGAAGGCATAGAGTTTTGGGGGGAAATGAAATGCCAGCAGGATAACCATATGGCATGTTTAGCAAGCATTTTGAAATTCAGTGCTAGAACTCAGCAGTTAAGTAGAGCTGATGGTAAATATTTGAGACAATATTACAGAATTGCTATTGAAGATTATACAGAACAATATATTTAAGCATTACTGTTCTGCTATTTACTAATTTTGTGATCAGAATACTGGGTACTTTACATACATTACCTCAAAATATTAAGCAACCTACATAATATTGTGCATACATACCAGTTTCTTTTATCTTCCTTTTTGGTGGCAGTTGATTTATTAAGGAAGCATTATATAAAGAAAAAAGAGCGTGGACAAAGCAGCTACATTTAGAATAGGAAGAAAAGGAGGAGGTTGTGAAGTTACACCCAGAGTTATGATACAAACCAAGAGAGTGGTCGTTTTAAGAAGTGATAACAGTTGTAAGGATGCCATTAGTTTTGACAGTTTAAGAGGCCAGACAGCTTTTTTTTAGGGCACGACCCTATTGAAAGATACACTGTGAGGTGATTTTAAAAATTAACAAAGCAGGTCAAGCATGGTGGCTCATGCTTGTAATCCTACCACTTTGGGAGTCTGAGGTAGAGAGAGGATTGCTTAAGCTCAGGAGTTCAAGACCAGCTTATACAAAATAGCAATACCCTGCCTCTATTGAAAAAAAAAAAAAAAACTTAACAAAATTGAAGCAATGATAGTTATACTGTGATTTCAGAAACTGGAGTATGAGTATGGCTTCAGATAGATAGAAGACAAGGTTTAATCGAGTAAACCTTAATTGGTAATTAGGATTTGGGTGAGAGGCTAGTTATAGAAAAAATAAGGAGGAAGAAATGGTCTTGGTTTATACTGGACTTAGGAAGCCATTGTTAAATAATGATAAAGAAATAGTTTGCGTTAAATAGTAGAATAGTGACAGATTATAGAGATATTATGGAGGTCTTGAAAACCAGGGAAAGAAAATTGGATTGGGCTTTGAAAACTTAAGCATGTGTCCTTCTGATTTTCATGTGAGAATAATTAATCCAGTTCTCATAGTTTATAACAGAAATTAATGCCAACATATATTATTACTTTTTTGCATGATTATACATTAGAATTAAATGTTATAATTTTTCTTTAATAAATTAGGCTTTTTTCTTTCTTTTTTAGGTCAACTTTCATTCTATGATGCAAACTCGAAACAGTTGCTATATTCCTTTAAGACAAAATTTACTCAGCCACTATTACCTGGTTTCATGGTTAGTATGTTTTATATCTTATATATACCTAATTTACTTGGCTTGGTGACTGTAAGGAGAATATTCTGTACTGTATATTTGGAGGAAAATATTTTATTTTTTCTTCATATTCTTCTCCCTTTCCCCAATTCACCCCTGCCAAATCTGTGATTTTTATATATTTTTGGTATATTTTATTGAAGTTAATACATGAAGTACACAAATCATAAATATGTAGTTTGATGAGTTTTTATAGGATTGCACTCAAGTATGTAACCAGCACCTAGAACATTACGAAACCTCAGAAGCCCTCTCTAGTGTCCATTTCCAGTCCCTGATGGCCCTTCTCCAGCGTTAAGACTGTATTGACTTTTAATACCCCAAATTTGGCCGGGTGCAGTGGCTCATACCTGTAATCCTAGCACTTTGGGAGGCCACGGTGGGCTGATCACAAGGTCAGGAGATCGAGATCATCCTGGCCAACATGGTAAAACCCTGTCTCTACTAAAAATACAAAAACTAGCTGGGCGTGGTGGTGTGTGCCTGTAATCCCAGCTACTCAGGAAGCTGAGGCAGGAGAATCGCTTGAACCTGGGAGGTGGAGGTTGCAGTGAGCTGAAAGTATCATGCCATTGCACTCCAACCTGGTGACAGAGTGAGACTCTGGCTCAAAAAAAAAAAAAAAAATTTACTTTACTTCATTTTTAGTTTTATATAAAGAGAATCATACAGTATCTTTCTGACTCAACATTGTTTGTGGGATTTATCCATATTCTATGTGGTTATTTTGTTCATTCATTCTCATGAATTATAGCTGTATAGTTTCCCGTTCTGTGACTGTATCACAATTTATACATTGTAATTTAGTTGGATATGTGGGTGGTTTCCATTTGTGGGTTTATACAAATAGAACTGCTGTGAATATTTTTGTTCATGTCTTTTGATAAATGTATGTGTATATTTCCATTGAGTATATACCTGTGATTGGGGTTGCTAGACGTATGGTACATGTGTAATCAACTGTAATAGTACTGCCAGTTTTCCAAAGTGGTTGGTTATGCTAATTTACAACTAGCAGTATGTGAGAATTTGAGTTTCTTCAAATCCTTGTCAACGCTTGGTAATACCTTTAAAAATTTTTTTTGTCCTTCTAGTGGATAATATATTACATTGTGGTTTGAATTTGCATTTCCCTGAGTATTAGTGCTGTTGAGCACCTTTTTACATGTTTGTTGACTATTTGGGAATATTTTTTTGTGAACTGGCTATTCAGATCTTTTGCTTGTATTTCTATTAGGTTGTCTTCCTATTATGGATTAATTTGTAGGACCTTCTTCACTCTGGCTTTCCTTTTCTCTTGTTGGTATTGTTTGATAAACAAAAGTTAATTTTGTTGAGTTTATCAATTTTTTCATTTACAGCTAGCACTTTTGTATTGTTTAAGAAATCAAGCTGGGCATGGTGGCGCATGCCTGTAATCCCAGCTACTCGGGAGGCTGAGGCAGGAGAATTGCCTGAACCCAGGAGGCGGAGGTTGCGGTGAGCCGAGATCGCGCCATTGCACTCCAGCCTGGGCAACAAGAGCGCACCTCCGTCTCAAAAAAAAAAAAAAAAAAAAAGAAATCAGTATGCACTCCCTAAGTCATGAAAATATTCTTGTCTTCTAAAAGGTATATGTTGCATATTTAGATATAGACTGCATTTACAATGCAAGTACAATGTAGAATTGATGTGTTTGGTATGAAGTAAGGATCTAGGTACATTCTTGAATTCCCTAGGAATTCCATATTGACAAGATCATTGTGCATTGTCATCTTTGTACAATATTAGATGACTGTCTTAGTGTGCTATGCTGAATATATGTATGCACACCACACAGTAATTACATCCTATGTGATTGCAGGTCTACTCAATTTCAGGCTGATAAAAAAAAATCATGTTTCTCTGCACAAAATGAAACATGACTTTGAATTTATTTTTTTAAGCAAATGTTACTGTTTTTTTCCAACTGGTAGCCCTCTGCATTTCTTCATAGGCTAGGCTCCTGTGGGGAGTTCTGGGATCCAGTTAAAGTTTCTGTTACTTTGGCTAGAACTTTTCTTAAATTTGGAGGCTACCTCTGTAAACCAAGATGGTGTATTTTAAATGCAAACTTAGAATATTTTGCATGTATGTTCTTCTATCATCATCCCTAATTGTAATTTCTCAACTATAAGGAGGAAGTTTTCAGAGTTTGAGTGGGTTTAAAATACAGTGCTTTAAAAATCTCATTATCCATAATAATTATTTATTCTAGATACCTTAAACTCTTAAGTTTAAAACAATACTAATAACCAGGACATCTACTTTTACTTTTACATTAAAGGTAAGTGATTAGTGACTAAAATTATTGCTCATGGAAACAAAGATATTGGAAGGGTTGTTTCTTTTTCCTTTTTTTTTTTTTGACTTTATATAAGCCTCTGCTATATTATGCATTTTTGGATATTTTTCCAAACTGGTCCATCAAGGACAAATTGTTTACCATGTGGAATGCAGAAAAATGTTTTCCAAGTCTTAGATGTGCTTTTACAAAGAGTAGGTTTAATTTTTAATTTGAATCTATCTCATGTATATATACTTAGTTTTTGTTTTTCATTCCAAATAATACTCTAATTATATTAGTAAATGTCATAAGATTCTGCAAGAAATTATTTTAAACTTGTTAAAAATTTTTTTCTTTCATTGAAGTCTTTTTTTTTATTAACCACGTTAATGCCCATTAAATGCTTTGTGTACAAGATTAATTTTAAGTCAGTTTTACTGAATTATATAGTATGATGCAATTCTGTGTTTTTTAGCAAATGCCTAAAGTTGTAAAACCACCATAATGAAGATAGAGCATTTCTATCACCCTAGAAAATTCCTTTGTGTTCCTTTATAGTGGACCCTCCACACAACGAGCTCTAGCTATCAGTAACCAGTTCATAGGCCCTATAGTTTTGCCTTTTCCAGAACATCATATAAACAGAATTTTATGGTATGTAGCCTTTCAATTCTGTAGCATAATGCATTCGAAATTCATCCATTTTGTTGTGGTGTCACTATTCTCTTTTTCATTGCTGAGTATTTCATATATGTATATAACACAGTTCATTCATTCTTCAGTTGAAAGACACTTGGGTTTTTCCTAGTTTGGAGCAGTTATGAATAAAATCACTATAAACGTTTACATATGGGATTTTCCCTTGGATAAATACCTAACAGTAGTAATAGGGTTGCTGTACCACATCGAAAGTCTACGTTTAATGTCATAGGGAACTACCAAAATGTTTTCCAAAGTGGCTATACCATTTTTGGCCTTCCTATCAATGATATGAGAGTTGGTCATATCCTTGCTATTATTTGGTATTAACAGGTTCTTTGTTGTTGTTAAGCCATTTTAATAGGTGTATAGTGGTATGTCATTGTGTTTTTATTTGTACTTTCCTAATGACAAATGACGTTTCATGTGCTTATTTGCCATTCATATAATTTCTTTGAAGTAGCGGTTAAAATTCGTTGCTTACTTTTTCGGACTTATTTGTTTTCTTATTTTTTATTCTACTTTATTTTTAAGACAGTCTTGCTCTGTCACCCAGGCTAGAGTACAGTGGTGCGATCATAGCCCACTGCAGCCACAACTGCCTGGGCTCAGGTGTTCCTCCCACCTCAGCCTCTTGAATAGTTGGGACTACACCTGCTATTTAAAAGTTTTTTTTTTGTACAGCTGGAGTTTTGCCATGTTGCCCAGGCTGGTCTCGAAGTCCGAGACTCAAATGATCCGCCAGCCTTGGCACCGCAAAGTACTCAGATTACAGGCATGAGGCACTGTACCTGGCCTTGTTTTCCTATTTTTAAGAGTTATTTATACAGTTTGGATGTGAATCCTTTATCAGATATATGCCTTGCAAATATTTTCTCCTGGTTTATGGTTTGCATTTTCATTTTCTGAATGTTTCAAAAAGAAGTTTTTCATTTCAATATGAAGTCCAATTTAGTAATCTTTTTTTCCCTTTTATGGGTAACACTTTGCCCAACTCAGAGTCACAAAGGGTTTATGTTTTCTTCTTGAAGTTTGACAGTTGTAGGTTTTACATTTAGGTTCGTGATTATTTTGAGTTAATTTTTGTGTAAGGTATAAGGTATGGCTTGAAGTTCATTTTTGTGTGTCTGTCCAATTGTTTCAGCACCATTTATTGAAAAGACTGACTTTCTTCCATTGATTTCCCTTTGCATTGATCATGCTAGATTTTGAGTAAATATTTTTCTAAACCATTTAAATAATTTCCAAAAAATGATATAGTAGTTTTATAATCAGAAAGTTGCTTTTGTATTTTGGGAGTTTACCATTACTGAGCCTGCTAGTTTTGAAAATTTAGAGTGTTGATTATATAGTTACAAATTTCACAGTTCAGTAGATTCTTTGGTACAGTAATCTAGTTACTTAGTAGATACTGAACACTTAAGGATATAATTGAAGGTAAGGATACTTTAAAAAAACATTTCCCGGCCGGGCGCGGTGGCTCACGCCTGTAATCTCAGCACTTTGGGAGGCCGAGGCGGGTGGATCACGAGGTCAAGAGATCGAGACCATCCTGGTCAACATGGTGAAACGCCATCTCTACTAAAAATACAAAAAAGTAGCTGGGCATGGTGGCGCGTGCCTGTAATCCCAGCTACTCAGGAGGCTGAGGCAGGAGAATTGCCTGAACCCAGGAGGCGGAGGTTGTGGTGAGCCGAGATCGCGCCATTGCACTCCAGCCTGGGTAACAAGCGAAACTCCGTCCCCCAAAAAATAAATAAATAAAAATAAAAAAAATAAAAAAACAATTCCCTTGCTTTAAGCTTGTGTCTGCTAGTATTACATACAGGGTAGTTGATGTAGTGTCAGTGATCCATATGTTCATATTTTAATTGTTTTGACTGTGTTCCAAATCTTATTTCTCACTTTATTGAATCATAGCTGCTCTGTTCACAAGCAACGCAGTTTTATCTTCCACAAAGTCATTCACATTTTTGATGCGTAATAGAACATGGGAAGTACATCTGGATATTGTGATTTGCATTTTTGTCAGGAGTCCCTCTTAAAGAATTATAAAAGAGTTCTTGTTGTTAACAAGGTAGGGAAGAAAACAGTAGATTTTACTGTTAACAGAAGGGTGTTAGATTTTGATAGTCTCAAGCCATATCTCATTATCAAAACCAAAACCATAATTGGGAAGTAACTTGGTGCTTTGTATGCTTCCCTTGGTTGTGAAGGTTAGCATCAGTAATGATAGGTAATATCTTTTCCCTAGATTAATCCAATTAAGTTTCTCAATTTCTGTAGCCCTGAGTTCCTCTCTTGGGTACAGCTTCAGTTGGTTCTGCTACCAGCAAGACGTCCTCTGGCCTCTGGTTCTTAAATAATTCTGAGTTAGTTTTTCCATTTCCCCTCAGCTCAAATATGATGGTTACCTGTTTGAGAATGATGGATGCTCATATATGTGGCATTTTGCCACAAATGGAAATTTTAAAATCACTGAAGTTCTAATTTGATTTGAAATCTGACAGGTTTTTTGTCTTTTCTTAGGTATGGTGTGGTGGACTTTCTTTGAGTACTGGGATGCAGGTTCCAAGTGCTGTGAGAACACTTCAGAAAAGTGAAAATGGAATGACTGGTTCAGCTAGCAGCCTGAACAATGTTGTTACTCAATAATGTCTAATCAGAATACGTTTACCCTCCCTCTTGATTGCGTGGCCTTTTCTGTGCAGTTACTAATCACAGGAATTTGTGAGTAGTGAAATCAGGTTTGCTGTGTTGTGCTTTGAGGCCTGGAATTTGTTATCATTAAACACCAAGTATGAAGCATTTGCAGGAACCTACTGTGCAGTATCATAGAAGCAAGCAGATACCAAGCAAGAAACTGATGATTGAAGAGTAAATGGAGGGAAAGGCAGTGTTTAATTATCATAAAAAGTCATTTTTTTATTTCTTGGATTACTTTGACTGTTCTAATATGTTTAATTACATATGGCAACCCTAAGTCCTGGGGAGAAAAGCTTTTGTATCTTGCCTTCTTTCTTCTGTACTTTGTCTATTTTAAAAATCCCATTACTACTTATTATTTAGTTCTTACACAGAAGCTTTAAAAATACATAGTCCTCTAAGGTTTTCTAAAAATTGAAATCATATGTTGGGAACGATAAGGTTTTCAAATGGTTTATTTTTCCTGTTTTTAAAATAAGTTTTACAAAATTATCCTCTTTTGTTTATTCACTAGATTGTATATCATTTTCTTTTTTCCAAAATATTGTGATAAGAAGTTTCTAGACACAACAGTTTAATCTTACCTTTAGTAGCTTGGTAACATTCCCACTTGAATGTGGCACTAACTGATAATAATTATGCTGATGTTTAACATCTCTAATAGGAATGACAGTTTATTAAAGTTACATAGAGGATTGAAAAACATACTACTCAATTTTTATCTAAGAAGGATAGGTTATAAATGGAGATACCTAATACTCAATGTATATATTTTTTGAATAACGTATGGAATGCTTTAAGCAATTGTTTTGAAAAAAATCTGCATATCTTTGACTTAATTGGCACACAGGTTTTTCAAGCAGCCATTCATTCAGAGGTTAGTTTTCTGTCCGTCCTTTGCTACGTTTTTTTTTTAAAGAAATGTTACTTATTCCAAAAATTAACATAGATGTCTTTCCCAAACTTGGGGTAAAACCCATGGTTATTAAGCAGAGCATAACTATTCTTAAAAAGTCAACTGTAATTTGTAACTCACATCCTTTGAGCTAAACTAAAAGTTAAAATGACAGTATTTAATGATTCCTTGTGCATTTTTAAGAGGTCTGAATTTGTTTTTCTTAATTTTTGAAACTTTTCATTTGTCTTTTTTTCATTCTCATTTTAAATATATTGTGCTATGATAACCTTCCTCCAGGGATTGACCATTACTGCCTACATTTGAGTTGCTTTCTACATAAAGACCTGTGTAATAGTATTAATAATAGCTCATTCTGAATCTCTAAAAATTTACTGCTTACTGATAGGATGTTTTGTTCCCTTGATAAAACAAATGTAAATGAGGAGTTTTATTTGGAGTATTGTTTTTCCAGAGGACATTAATATCTGCACTATTATCTAATGACATGTTGGTAATTTTAAAGACTGCAAGGCAGAGAATGAAGTATGCCAATAGATATTCTTTTGATTCTCCAAGGAAATATAATTTTGGTTTTTGTTCCTCATAGAGAGTTTGAAAGAAATTTTCAGATGTTCTGTTTCCTATAGAGGGGCTATTCCAGTATCTTAAGTAAATGGAAATTTATAATGCACTTCATAGACTCAAACCTGAAAGCAGAAATTTTTAGTAGTTGAGTTGCTTTAAGTGAATTTTAGCAAATATGATACAGAAAAGGCCAGATGCTCTTGTATAAAATTTTTTACTACTGTCTTATATAATTGTTTCTTCTCATTAATTCAGTGCCTTTTTCCTCTAAGCATACTCTTGGTCCCTGACCCATGCAGTGTCAACTGATGTTTAAGCTACAGAGCATTATGTTAAAGTAGTGAGGGCCCTCTGCTGCAGGGGCATGGGGAAAAGCATATATGAAGCGGGCTGGAGGAGTATACTTGATTCTTGTGCTCATGTCATCCTTTGAAACTCTTCGCTTAAAATTTTCTAATATTCATTTGGAAAACCTCTCCAGTGGAGAGGTTTCATTTCTAAGAGTCTTTGTAGTAATTGTATAAGTTCAGTAAATCCAGAGTCCAAATTCTCATCACATGTATTACTTGATATTAAATTATGCAGTTATTAACTTCAAAATAAGAATCTGAGGATTTCTTCTTACTGTCCTTCTTAAAGGTCTCTAAAATTAAAGAACAAGATGTGTGAGGTTTTTTGGTTTAAGATGTTTTTAGCTTATTTGTTGTTAAGTTAAACTGAAAAAAGTTTGTCATCCTCATTCCAAACTAAAAAATAATCAAACATAGTGACTTTAAATAATCTTAAAATAAGGTAACTATTAACCATAGTATATAATATTCTCATTGACATTTGAATTTAAAAATATTGAGCTCATGCTCAGTTTAATACATTGTAGAAAATATTAAACCCTTTCAGACATCTTTTGTTGCTTATTTAGTTTTTGTTTCCACAGGACAAACATGATTGCTTTCTATAAAAGAAATGCTTGAGAGGTTGACTATAAAAAACATGGATTTAGTGTGGCATTTCTCTTTTAGCAACTGAATTCCAAACCAGTTTTATTAAACTGGATGTAGAAATGAAGGAGCTGCCTTAACTATAGAAAAAAGTTTTTTGACAATGCATTTTGACTCTCATGGCTGACCATGTCACATTTTATCTTTAAATTTTGGTAAATATGTAGATACCAAGCATTAATAACTAAGGCATAGAGAAATTTAATATACAGCAATTATTTGAATGTCCCAGGTATAAGGTAAACTAATTGTAAGTATTAAGTACATGCCTGTCTATACATGGGTTGCATTGATGGCATCTGTATCATCTTGACAAATCATGAACTACTGCTGTACAGCTAGAATTGGCCTATTTACTCTGTTCCACAAACAGTAATTTTATGAAAAGAGACATATTGGTTTGCTGTTATTTACTTATTTATGAAATTAAAGCATGAATAATATCATGTATAATTTGAAATTTTTGTGACTGATCCTTGATGGTATAAATAATAAAAGTAAATGTAATGGAATCTTTTAATTAGGCTAAGATATGCTATTTCATGACTAGAATGATTAATTTTTCTCTATATACTTTGTCCATAAAATTATAATTGTTTAAGTAATTTTATTTTTTCTTATGAAAACAATTGGAAAAGTATATGGAAAATGATTATTTCAAAGAGTGTTTATTTAAAGAGGAAAGGTAGACTTCTTACTATAAAATATGTGATTCCAGGCTTAAGAAATTAATTATATTTTAAAATAATTATTTTTTAAAATGTGATTTCTTTTTAAAAGATCAGCCTCCATTCATTGGCTAATTCATACAACAAATATTTGAGAGTTTGTGATATGGCAGTAAAGATGTGATGATTACTTTGTATGCACATTAACCAAAACGAATGAAGTTTGATGTACTGTGCATATAGTTTTGCAGCTTTTTGAGTAGTGTGACAGAGTCTGCATCTTAAAAATATTTTGCTAATAAGTCAGAAGTTTAAAATGTCTTACAGTTTGCTAGAAAAAAAATCAAATTAACTGCATATAAATGGTTCACTTTTATATAGTCACATGTAATGAGTCTGAAAAAGTTTCTTCTTTGATTTTGTGTTTACTTTAGATATATTCTTTTAGTGAAGTGTATGGTCAACATAAATTTACTCAGTATACAGATAATCATAAAGTTGTTATTTTTAACCAAAATATACATTTCATACTGTTGGTATTGGAGTATTATAAGAGATCATGAATGTTTCCTGAATTATCATGGCAAGATTACCTCACATTCAGTATAGTTTAGTTTTATGTGTATCTTACAGTATGCACATTCTTCAGTTATTTGTGATCCTGATATGTCACATATAATAGCTTTGTTACCTGGAGTATTTGATTAACCTAAACAGTTTAAGCATTTTTAATTAGTTGGAGTTTAAATTGATTACATTTGGTGTATGTTGTCTTCATTGAAAAGATACTGTTGGACATGCCATATCAAAGTTAGTATTCACTTATAAATAAATACCAGAATTTGCCAGTACACTTTTCTATGCAGATGACTCAATTATTAAATAAAAGAATATTATTTCTGAGTGAATATAGGATACTGACTTCTGATTCATAATCATTTAAGCTAAGTGAGTTTAAACTGATACCTTTTCTTAGTGGTACCCATTCAGTGTAAGCTGGTCCATGGGAATGGACATGTAGAGGATTTCACAGTATGTAAGGCAGAAGGCAGGTGAATGTGTTTGCTTTGGCCTGGAGCTTATTAAGTTTTGCTAGTGTTAAAATAATTCAAATAGTAAGTGGTAAAACACATTTTTGTCAGTATTGGAACTTTTTGGAGAACATAAGGGCCATGAGAATGCATGATTTTTAACATTTCCTATATATCTAAGGTACCAAAGCACTGAGTCTATTTTACCTATTAAGGGAGACTCTTTAAAATCAAATTTATAACTAATTCATACTATAAGACAGATAATAGCTAAAGTTTTGAAATAATTTATATTAAAATCCACAAGTCTTAAAAATTCCTGGATGCGATATAAAAAGGATATTGGCTTCTTTATTGCAGTATTTAAAATTAATCACCTTAGCTCTACCATATACTAGATCTGTGACCTCTACATAAATCGTTTATCATCTTTGGGCCTCTATTGCCTTATTTATAAAATAATTATAAGTTGTACAGCCTACCTCACAGGGCTGTTGTGAGGAATAAAATGAAATGGAGTATGTGAAATTGCTTCAGCAGCAGTAAAGTGCTATGTAAATGTAAAGTGTTCTTTTTGAATAATAATGGATATTTAAGTGTTTGGATAATTCTAGATTGCATTTAGTTTGATAAAGCATGTGCTTAACGTGGTATCACCAGTGATTTCAAACATGACTTAAAAAATAAACCCCAATTAAAATGCTCGTTAATATTCATTTAGTTTATGCATGATTTGTGGACTTTCTGTATTTTCTCAAGCTTATTTCGCTAGAGCTATAAAAGCTTTCTCACAGCATTGGTGTGTCAGTGTAGAATAGTGGCATAAATAAACAAATGGATTAAGCTACATTTCCTTGCAGGCATTTGCACTTTGAAGTTAGGGCTGCTCAGTGCCACATGCAAAGAGTGAATTTGGTCTAAACAATTCTTTCCAAACAACCAGATGGCTGGGCAGTTTGTTGTCACTGGATAAATGATATAAAATGTAACCACGGAACATTTGACAACTTCGTTGCATTGTTATTTAATAAAAAAAGATGAAGCATTTCAAAACCTTGTTAGTTAACCTGGATATCTCTTGGTATCTCTCCTGACATATTAGTTTTGCTTTAAATTGGATTAAATGGTTTACAGGTTATCTGAATCTACAGATTTAGTATGTCTATTATCTGGACATGGTTTTGCTATGCAGTTGTGATAATAAAAATTCTAATTCCTCAGGTTTAGCCTTTATGTTATCGATGAAGACCTTTAATGAACTACTTATGATGTACTCAGTGCTGCACAATAGTATTTTAATAAGCACATTGCCTCATTTTCCTTAGAAACAAGACAAAGCCTTTTTTAAATGTTTTTTTAAATTTAAAAATAGGATATTCAAAGTGGAGTAACTTGTATTTTGAAATGATTTTATGTTCTGTGTAGAATGTCCCAGTTAAGATTTTACAGAAGCACCTGGAATATCTCATTAAAAATGTAAAAACATTTTTCCTGCTTTCTTTTGCTTCATTGCTTGCTTTTATTAACTTTAAGTATAAATACAATATGCTGTTGGGGATGAGGATATAAAAAAAGTCACAGTTTCTTTGCCTAAAATGCTTAAGATTTTAGAGCACTGCTGTTCAACAGAATTTTATGCAATTATGAAAAGTTATTTGTGCAGTCCAATACAATAGTGACTAGCCGTAGGTGGCTACTGAGCACTTTAAATATGGTTAGTGCACTAAGCAAATGAATTCTTAACTTTAATTAATTTAAACATAATGAGTTGCATATTGCTAATAGCTACTGTTTTGAACAGTGTACCTACAGATGCAAAATGCAACATGCTATATAAGTAACTATAATATAACTTATGAATTTGGTTTCTTTGGATCTTGCCACATGTTGGGTTACATTTTGGTAAATGGTAACTAAGAGAATCAGAAACTAAACCTTTTTAAAATTCCTTTTCTAACTTGAAAACAGTTTAGAAGAAAAAAAAATCAGTGAGACTGAAGCTCCTGTAACTAAGAAGTTATATAAGAAGAATGAAAGGAGACTGGATAGTCTTGAGTCACAGGAAGAAGAATGAACAAAGATTGAGAAACCACTATAGAAGATGGAAAGTGAATGGTTGCATTTCTGGAGAACAATTTTAGCAATACCAAGATTTTAAAATGCACATACTCCTTAATTTCTAAGTATTTCTCTTTACATATATACTCACAAAAAAGCCAATATTCATTGCAGCATTACCATAGCAAATAGTAGCAACCTAATTATTAATTGAAGACATACACATTTGGATGGACTTGGAGGTAAATTCCTTTTCCTTTTTTGGTAGCAAGGCAAAGAACTGGTTAAAAAGGCCTAAGTTGCCTCAACAAAAGAATGTGATAACAGAATTTTGAAGGCTTCCTTTTTCTAACTTGCTGTAGCAACAAATTATTAAGTAGTGGTCTAGATATTATATATTCTGCACATTCCCCTCCCCCAATAAATGTTATATAGACCATTATGACAGTTGGCTTACTTAACTAGTAGACCATTATGACAGTTGACTTACTTAACTAGAGCCTTTTCCTTGGTATACCAGCCAATTGTGCCTGGCTGGGATTTCTGTGGCATAAGAGCTCAGGCTATTATGTGCACTCTGCTTTTCTGCCCAAACTTTTCCTTATTAAACCCCATTTTACACTTACAGTGCATGGTACTTGTATTTTTTGTTTGTTTTTGCACAAGGTCAGCACAACAGCAGATGGTTAGACTGTGGTATTTCCATGTGCTCTTACACAGCTGTTAAAGGACATGCTGTTAATGGAAGTGTATTTAACTGTGATATGATTAAACAGAGAAAGTCATCGAGCAATGTATAGAGCATGATACCATGAGTGTGTGCATGCATTTATACTTGGGTAAGAGGGGACCCTGACCTGATCCCCACACACTTGCTGTGCCTCTCTTCATGGGGTGAAAAACTAAGCCAAGAGATTATACCTACTTGGAATGCATATTCCTTTACCCACTTCTATACTAAGTTATTGAAACAGTCTTTCATTGTCTGAGTTAACACCCTGAGTTCTTGTCCTACCTCCAAGATGATTATGGAGTGTGGACATAAAGGTGAGGTTAGAACAAAAGTTTAGTAAGTGAAAAACAAAAGCTCTCTGCCAGCAGAGAAGGGGTCCTGAACAGGAGTACCCACCATGAGGCTGGAGTCCAGGGTTTTTATGGACGGAAGGGGACAGCCCGCAGACTAAAGAATATACTTAGTCTGTGGGCTGTCTTGATGAACGTGTGACTCAGCTTGGCCTGGGACCAGTCAGGAGATGAAATGATGATTCATAGATGCGACGTAGCCTGGCCCAGGACCTATCAGAAGCTGAAGTGAAAGGTTGGCCCGGGACCAATCAGGGGTTGAGGTGATGATGCATAGAATCCAGACTTAGAGTCCTAATAAAGGAAAGTAGAGTACCCACTGGAACCTACTGGATCCAACTGTGCCCATGCCTACAAAAGGAAAAGAAACTCTGGGAACCTGCGGACTATACAAAGGACAAAGTCATTTCTATGCCAGGCCTTGTTCCCTTATCTGAGTGAGCTGGAGGGTTGTGCAAGTTTTTATCCAAATGGGCTGTAGGTTTTTCTATCTGTGCAGCCATGGGCATGTCTCCAGGCACAACACCCTGTGCTAGTTCCCTAGTTGGTGCTTGCAGCTTGAGTTTTTTCCCAGGCTGCTTTTTATGTTATGTGGGGATGGGGCACTGACCCATGGGCCAAGGGTTCTCTGGAACCCTTCCCTTGTTACCTACCTAAGGGAGGCTAACTAATCTGATCCCCATACTCTTGCTGTGCCTTTCTTCATGGGATGAAAAATTGAGCCAAGAGATTACATCTACTTGGAATGCATGTTCCTTCGCTGACTTCTATACTGATACCAGATAGCTAGAACCCCAGAATTTCTTGCCCAGTCAGCCTGAAGCTTGCCTCCAGCATGCGTGCAGGTCTCTTGTCCAAGTCCATCCTGACAAAAAGACTACTACAGATGCCTATACCCCTATGGCTGGCAGTTTGTGGGAAGCGCAGATGAAGCTTTTTGTGCAGACTGAGTTGTCCACATGCATGCATGACAGGCCCCTTGTGGCAGGCTGAAGCTAGAAGTAAAAAGAGATCCAGGGGCTCAGGGAAGGGCAGGCCAACCTACTGTCACTTTCTGGAATACATTTAAAGAATTGCATATTTGAATCTAGATTTCTGTTCCCTGAGAATAAATACCTGTTGAAGTATAAGAGTATAACATTTTATTTGTTGGTTAACACTCAGCTGTTTAGACACTGAAAATATGTCAGGGTTGGCTTCCATTTGTCTTCTTGCCCTAGACCCTACACATGTTAGGAGTGGGCCAGGGTGCTTGGATGTGTGCAGAGCTGAGTGGTTTATAGAACATGAATATTTACTTATAAGGGAAGCTGTTTGATGCATCACACCCCCTCTTTCAACTGAATTTGCTAACTAGATTAAAGCATACTGACTGACGTCTGCCATGAGCTGAGGGCTAACATTTGACCTCAGTATGCTTGAGAAGTAGCACTGCCACTAGTTGAGTTGTATATTTACCTTCAGTTATGTTTGTTCCCAAACCTGCTTATGCAGGTGGCAGTCACGGTTGTAATTATGTAAGTATGTAAATCAATTATATAATGTAAATATATAAATATGAAACGAGTATGAAAAGTTACTTATGAGGAAAGTGGGGGAACCATTATAGATGAAGTGTTTAAAAAATTGCTGACAAGTTGTGGCCAAAGTAATTGAGTGATGGGGAAGATTTTTGTTTAAAAATTCCAGGACTCCATATACATCTTCCTTCACTTGTATCTTTAAATTCCTCATCCATTTTACATAAACAGAAACAAGAAATGATGGATGATGCATTATGTCTGTGGTTTTGTAAGAAAAAGTGAGATACTCCAATCAGTTGGTCCATACTTAAAATGAACTTAGTTCAAGTCAGAAGATTGGCCATTGTAACCCTGTACTGAAACTACCTTTTAAAAAGATTTATTCAGAACTAGATTTGTTATACACTTGAAAAGTATTTACTTCTAAGAACCTGATAATTTTTCCCTTTTCCTGTTACTTTTAATTTCCAAGTACACAGAAAAGTAGAAAGCCAGTGCTTTGTGCTCATCACCTAGGTTGTCAATTGTTAACATTTTGCCATGTTTGTGCCATCTATTTTGTTTTAAAATGTCACCTGTAAGTAAGCTATATGCATCAATGATGGCTGTTTAAAAACAGCCACATTCTGTTAACATTCTTAGCAAAATTAACAGTAATTCTGTACTGTTATCTAATGGATCAGTCAATACTAAAATTTCAGTTGTCTCAAAAACATCTTTTTACGGTTAGCTTGTTCAAATCAGGATGCAGACAGGGCCCACACATTGTACTTCATTACACCTCTTAAATATTTGATTTTTTTGTAGTTCCCTCTTCTGCTTTTAAATGCCATTGATTAAAAAACTGAGGCATTTGTCTTGTAGAACGTCCTGTTTTCTGAATTTAATTGGTTGCTTCTCTATATCCTGTGTTAGATCTAGAGTTTGAGTAAATGCAGGTTCAATTTTTAGGCAAGAATCCTTCACAGGTGTGGCTGCATACTTTCCATCGCATCAGGAAGCACATAATATATGCTTGTCCCAAACTTAGTGAGATTAAGATTCATCAATGGGTTCAGGTGGTGCCAGTCTATTATGAAGTACCCCATCAACCTTTCACCTTAATTTTAGCATCTATTGATGTTGCCCTTTCTATTATTTCATTAGAAGTTGCAAAATCATGATTGTTTTATCATTCTCCATTTATTAGCTGGAATTCCTTTTTTTTTTTTTTTTTTTTTTTTTTGAGACAGAGTTTCGCTCTTGTTACCCAGGCTGGAGTGCAATGGCACGATCTCGGCTCACCGCAACCTCCGCCTCCTGAGTTCAGGCAATTCTCCTGCCTCAGCCTCCTGAGTAGCTGGGACTACAGACACGCGCCACCATGCCCAGCTAATTTTTTTGTAGTTTTAGT